AAGTTTGATCGATCTGAAGAGAGTTGGATCAATCAAAGATGGAAATTCTTTGAGGATAAGGACAAGGGGTCTGATCCATCTTGGTGAGGTGAGATCGATCGAAAGTATTCCTGATCGATTGAAGATTGCTGATTTCCACCACTTTGCTTCTACTTTACTCCATTCTTCCATTCTGCTTGAGATTACTTCTTTTATGCTCTAATTTGGCTGAATTGACATATTTTGGGGATAAACACCTAAAAAGGGCAATAACATGAAATTAGTCTAAAACAGGAAAGTAAGATAGATAAAGGTCTTATAATATTTGAGCTTAAGGGGTTTAAATGCGCACTTTTCAGTGCTCATTAAGGTTATCTTGGATTTTGTATCATCAAAAACCACATTTATAGACTTCATGACCACTTTGGTTCTAAGATTAAAAACCCTATAAACCCGACTTGTTTGTGAATAACCCAAAAACACACCTTTATCACTTATAGAGTCGAATTTTCCCAAGTGTTCCCTCTCTCTAAGGATATAACATTTACTTCCAAAGACTGTAAAGTATTTAACAGTGGGCTTTCTGTTATACCACAATTCATATGAAGTCTTTTTAGTTCCAAGCCTAAGATAAACTCTATTTAGGATGTGACAAGCAGTATGTATTGATTCAGCCCAAAAGTGATTTGCAATTTTATTCTCATGAAGCATAATACATGTCATACCTGTAATTGTCATATTTTTCCTTTCCACTACACCATTCCGTTATGGTGTTTTAGGTGTTGAAAATTCATGCTTAATGTTATTCTTATCACAATATTCAATAAACTTCTTAGGTTCGAATTCACCTCCATTGTCACTCATAATCCAATTAATTCGATATCCCTTCTCATTTTGAATAAGTTGGTAAATAAACCTGAAATTCACAAAAGTATCAGATTTTTCTCTCAAATATGCAACAAAAGTAAATCTAGAAAAATCATCAACTATAACAAGCATATAATTTTTTTTCCTTTAATGCTATCAGGTGTTATGCGACCCATCAAATCCATATGAATCAATTCTAAATGTCGAGAAGTGACTTTATGAATAAGTCTCTTATGTGACACTCTAGTTTGTTTTCCTAATTGACATGGACCACATATTTCATTCTCAGGCATCTTCAATTTAGGCAAACCTTAAACAAGATCATTGTTAGACAAATTTGCTAAATCATTAAAATTCACATATCTAAGTCTTTTATGCTATAAAACAGCCTCATCAGTAACTACAGAAAAATATATTAGTGAAGGATCTAAAAACACAACATAACAATTATCATAAGTTTTAGTTCCTTTTAAGATGCATTCACCTTTTTCATTAGTTATAAAACACCCTTGTTGAGTAAAATTGTCTTGAAACTCCTCATCACAGATTTGACTAATACTCAACAGATTAGCAGTTAAATCTTTAACATATAGAACATTCTTCAACTCCCCAATTCTTGAAAATTTGATTTTACCTTTTTCACTTAAAGTAGAAGCATTACCATCACCAAAAGTAACAGTACCAACTATGCATTCCTTAAAAGTGGTAAACAATGTTCTATCCCCTGTCATATGCCTAGAGCAACCACTATCAAAGTACCACCCATATGGACCAAGTGCTCTAAGTTCTGTGTGTATAATAAGGCATTTAAAATTCTCTTTCTTTACCCAAACAATTTTAGATTCATTATGCAATGATTTCCTTATTGTTCTAGGCAAAGTGTCACAAGGGTCAACAGTCCTAATCCTCCTCTTCCTCAAATTTGAACTCTCTAGATTTTTTAATTTTTTTCCTAGTTTAATTTTCTTTTCTGACACTTATACTTCATAGGCCCCTTTTCACCACAAAAATGACATGTTGAAATAAGTTTGGTAGAACTAGAAATAACATAAGGTTTGGTTTCAACTCTCATAAAAACATCTTTAGATTTTTAAAAGTACAAATCCTTTGAAGTTGATGCCAAATCTTTGTTACTCATAGCATTCTCAACCACTCTTTTCAACTTATCAATTTTGCAAGTGTCAATATCAACTTTCTAAAATGACTGTTTTGATTTAACAAATTCACTACTCAAATTATCAATTTTAAGTTCTAGTGATTTATTAAACAAATTTACCTTTCTTAAGCTCATTTTCCAGAAAATCAATTTTATAAAGAACATTCAAATTCTTATAGCCAATTTCTTCCAAATTCTTATCAGAGACAAAAACCTCTAACCTATAAATATCTCTATCAAGTTCCGCAAGATTCACTTTCTCTAACAGATTTTCAAAATCCTTTTTAAACTTTGACCATTCAATTTACATGCTTGTGACAGAATCAAAAACAGGAGGTAAAGCATCAACAGATGAATTTTCAGACATGATGCAAAAGCAATCAACAATAAATCAACAAATATGATCAACTCAAGATATTGAGTTACCCGCTCTGATACCAAATTGTGAAAATAGAGTTATGCGGGGTGCGAAAACAATTAGTTGATTTTAATTGTGATTAACTCCTTTAATGACCTAGATCTGATTATTAGGTCAACCTGCTCAATTTATGATTAATTAATTTGTATAATCAATTAAACATCCATAATCATAAATATAAATACTGAAAAGTAAAGCAAGTTAAGTTCAGAGAGATTGCACCAGGATTTTTAACGAAGAAACCCCAATTGATAAAATAGGTTAACTGTTTGCATAGGAAAAACTTTGTGGACTATTCAGTCCAAAGTAAACCGATCCACTATGTTTGAAACAAAATACACCGAACTTTGACTCTGGCTCATACTCTATCGTTCTACCAAACACCAATTACTAACAGTCCTCTAGCTTTGCGACTCCACGTCCAATAGCAGCTTGACCTTAGGCTTATACTTGATATTTGTAGAAAAGTAGCAGGTAGATCAGACAACATTCCTCGAATGCTTCAACCCTTTCAAAGTGTGATCGCTTTTACTTCTGTTTTCAAGATCTGAACTTGATGTAGAAGAATTAAATCATGTTCTTCATACGGAATATCTGAGTCTTCAATATAGTTCCAATTCCGATGAGATAGAGAACAACACCAATAAATCACTCATGAACATATGTGTATGCTCTCATAAATAAATTTAGAATAATCAGATTTGATTTCCTGAATTTTCTCTCTAAAAGGCTTTCTCAAAATATAGAATTGATTTTCCCTAAAGCCGTGAATAAACCAATGTATATGATATGGTTTATATAGAATATAGAATGACCTAATCCCTCTGAAAATGAGAAAAAATTCGCGCATAGGATGTGGTACAATTCTAGACCAATTGGAAACAAATCAGGAAACTCAAACTTATATAGTGAGCAGGACACCTTGAACCGGTTAAGAAGGGCTGAACCGGTTCAAGTTTCACAGAAACTTTTCGAAGCCAAACTTGACATCTTGAACCGGTTAAGAAGGACTGAACCAGTTCAAGTTTCGCAGAAACTTTTCGAAGCCAAACTTGACATTTTGAACCGGTTCAGAGGGGCTGAACCGGTTCAAGTTTGGCAGACTTGAAACTTTGGTTCCTTCAGCCTAAAATCATTATACGATAAGTTCTGAACAAAATGGAAAGTGCAGAATGTGTCCAACCCTGTTTAGAATCCTTCCTAATGTGTCGTTCTTATCTTTTTCTTCAAAAGATCTTCAATCATGGTAATTTTGAACAACTTCTCAGTTCTGTAGTCACTGTCGAACTTAATAACTTGCAGACCAAGTAACTTGAATTACAACTCAACATGAACTTGTTTTAATCATGAAATTAGCCAATTACAAAATGTATATCTCACATTCACTTCGGCGTTCATCACTTCGGTGGGATTGTAGAGGCGGAGGGATATGGTGGAGGTTGAAGTGGTGAGTGAAGAGAGAGAGATAGAAGGGGTGTTTTTTCCTTGGCAAAGGATCTTGAACTGGTAGCTAATGTCAGTATCGGTTCCCACACGACAGAATTAAAATGAAAGGTTTAACTGTTTGGAAAAATTCTGTTTTAGAAACTTTGAAGAAACATACCATGTATGTATAGCGTCCTAAGTGGGAAATAACTTCCTAAAGTATTGTTCGTACATTTTTCGTAGATCTTAGTTTATCAAACTTGAACAACTTTCCAAATCCTTAGCCGATCTCGATCTTGATTTGGTAACTTGAAAATTACAACTCAATCAGACTTGTTGTGATACCGAAATTAGCCAATTACAATAAATTATATCTCATAATCCCAAGGTTTGTCATGAATTATATATGTATCGACTCTTGTTGGCATCAATAACTTAGTATTTCATAATACTAGTTTTGCCATTGTGGTACCAATTTTATTTATATTTACTGATATATATATATATTGTTAGAAAGTACCAAAATAACAAGATTTGCAGACATATCCAATGGAAGTTTATGACAAGGGAAATCTGTATATTTATTGAATCAATATGAGATTACACTATAATTTCTATAAAACTTTGGAGAATTCAACATAATTCACCCTTAAGCTGGTTTTGCTAGCATGGAATTCATGATTTAGAATTAGAGTTACTATAATTAATATATAATGTTTTACACCCAAAACCATGGTGATAATATGATTATGGTGTCTCATGGAACCCAATGATATTATTGGTTGAAAAAATTGTTAAAACTGTTTCACCTTTTTTCAGCAAAATGACATAACCATCCTCTATATTTTGGCCCAATAAAGTTAAACCTTAAAAAAATAATTAAAAATAAATAAATAAATAAATAAGCCATCTTTGAAACACTTGTGGTTACTATGGATGTTTAAAGGAGTACTATTTGTAGGCCTTTTTAACAATATGTACTTTGGAGGCAAAGAACAGAACATATGGCTCTAAGGAGTAGTAGTATTACTAGTTTATTACCCAGTTTCGTTTATTATAGTTATTATGGTTCCTTGTTTATATCCATGCTTTCTAACCACTACATTATCTCTACTATACCTTATTAACCATCACTTGGATTTTTCTTAATATGATCCTTATCTCCATAGCTAAAAATGCACTTCTAATTTATCAACTCTCCACTGCTTTATAAGTGTAACATAAAATAATAATTAAAAAGAAAAAAAACTGTGACACAACTTTGGCCATGTAAACACAACTTTAGTTTTAGAAAACAAGCCATAAAAAACAAATCTAAACAAGACCTACAAATTACAAAGCTCAAACTCCAACTAGGTGATCCAAATCCTTATAAAAGGACGATCATGAAATCATACCCGATTAAATTATCCATACAAAAAACAAAAACAGAAGAAGAAACTTACATTCACTGGGATCTGTAGCGATGCGTTTGACATGAATTGCAGAAGTCAATTCCATAAATGGGTCGGTAGTGATCACAACAAGCTTATCACCAACTGCCAAATCCACAGCTCTAGCAGGAGAGTCGAAATTAAAGGAGTACAACTGCGCCCCAGTTTCAACACTCCAGAGCTTTGCTGTTTGATCCGCACTTCCAGTAATTAGCCGTGACGAATCCCCTGAACATCATACAATAATCCATTTGCTCAGTGCAATTTAACAATATATATGACAAAATAAGTCCAATTCTCTTAGAATCTGTCCGACTTTTTCTGCATCTCTATCTAGCTTCTGCTGAAGTCATACTTCACTGACAGATGAACCTCACCTAAATCTCCTTCTCTATACATGCAAAACATATATATATATATATATGGACAGACTGTCAAGATTAGTTCTTGATTCTAGTCAGAGAGAGCTATTTAGAGTTCGAGAGCTCAAAACAGAGTGATATATATACAGTATATATAAATATAGGGAGGAGAGAGAGAGAAGAGAAAAAAAGGGAAAGGGACTTGCTTGAGACATCGCAGCACCAAACAGCACCATTATGACCACGGTAGGTGACCAAACGCTCGCCGTTGTCGGTGAACCAGACGGTAGGAGTGTGGTCCTTAGCGCAAGAGAAGAGGAGATCTCCGTCTCTGTTGTACTTCAAGAATGTCAGTGGCCTCTCGTGCCCTTTCATCAATATCGGCCTCATTTTTTACTTGCTTGCTTCCTATATTTCAATCAATTCTCAGATTTCTCGATTCAACTCAAAATCACAACAACACAACTAATTCCTCTCTCTCTCAACACCACAACTAAATTCCTCTTTCTCTCACCAAATTTCTCTTCTTTTCCTCTTCTATCTAAGGTAAAAACCCTAGCCAAAGACTTCTAGCCCAGCTGTAAGATGCCTCCTGTTGGTTCTTGGAGCACATGGGTTCGAGTCTTGACACCAACTAACTCCTAACATTTACCTTTCAAAAAAAAAAAAAATAAATAAAAAAAAATAAAAAAATAAAAACCCTAGCGCAGGTCTCAGAGGAGAAGATTTTGGAACCAATGCCCAACGAAATTGTTGTGGGCTGATCCGACCCGAACCATTACTGTTGCTTACGTTGATCCGGCCACTTGGTCCTTATTTTGGATCCTTATTTTGGATCCATTTAACCCAAAATCGAACCCAGCAATTAAAGCCTAAGTCACATAAAGCGGGAGCGAGAGTGAGAGCGAATTTGAAAGTAGGAGCGTGAGAACGGTAGAATTAAATCATAAGTAATGAGAATTTGAGTGAGAGCGCATACGGAACGTGAGAGCGGGAACGCTTGGAACGTGAAAGCGACACCTATTAAGAAGGATTGTGTGATTTAGATTAAAACACTATCATCTATCTTTCACTTTAAAATAAAAAATAAAAAAAAAAAAAATTATGATTTAGATTTTTTTGCCACTATTTATGTTTGGACATTATGTTAGGTTTTTACTATATTAAGTTTTTAAAACTTCATTTTACAATTAAATTAAAGAAGTGTAAGTAAATATGAAAAAGTGTTTGACAAGAATTGTGTCTATTAACTAGAGGCATGAGAATGAGCTAACCTATAAAATATATGGTCACTTCAATAAAGTAATCTATGATTAACTTATATCCTTATACGTTATTTCTTTCTTTATTTTCTTTCAGCAACCCATATATTATATTGTATTCTTATCTTTAAATTTTTTGGGGTAACATGACATTACAAGACTTGGTGAATATTTTTTTGTGAATGTGTGCATAGAAGATACTAGAGTTGTATCTTGGAGCCTTTCATAGTCGTCACAACCTGCTCGTAGGGAGGCTATAAAAACTTTAGAACAGTATTGCATGTCTCTCCATTAAACAGCCTAGAAGTTTATTACTCTCTACTACTTTAATATGAGTTTTGTTGTTATTTTACTAGTCTATTATTTTAGTATATTATTTTATTTATACAATATATATATATATATATATATATATATATATATATATATATATATTGTGGTATAATTACACTGTGATAGAAGTGTTTTAGTCAAAGTGCATTTTGATATGATTATGTGAATAGATTTAAAAATGAGATTGTATAAAAATTTCCAAAATCTCCAACACATTATGCAAAGCAAAATATTTTTATTAAATACTTCTTTTTTTTTAACTTTCCACTACTCAACAAAAACACAAAAAATAAAACAATACCAAACACAACCTAAACTTTACAAGATAAATAATAAACAAATGAAGAAGCAACTCACTCTCCCTCTCTGATATTTTATTTGAATACAGTTGAAGTCTAAACTCTAATTTTATAACAACATGGATCAATTCTGTTAGAAACAGAGCCTAGTGGTACTTGACCGATGAAACTTGTCTGACGGTCGAATGAATTATTTACTTCTCACTTTCCCGAAAAAAAAAAAAAAAAAAAAAAAAAAAAAAAAAAATTATTTACTTCTCTAATTGTTCTTTTATTTATATCATTACAATGAATTATTTTTCTTTTCCTAAATATTACAATGAATTATTAATTTTTTTTTATTTATTATTGTCTATGTTACTGGCCCATTTTTAATTATGCTGGATCATTTAAACTTAGTTGGAAATTATCTATGCCAAACTTTGGTCTTACATTGTTTCTATACTATTATAATAAATTACCTATTTTGTTTTTTGTTTTTTTTTTGTGTGAATGTCAAAGGTTTAATATTGGATCACCATATAAAAAGATTTACCTTCAAATAAATGTATTGTATATAGACAATTTTCTAATCACCATCACATCACCATGCTATGGATCACCATCTTGAATTTGGTTTTATTCGACAAATTTTGGATTTTTCAGAACCAGGATTATAAGTATATGAAGGCACTGCATTGAGTAGATATAAACCTAATATATAATATTATTTTTGCATTTTTTTTTCTACCAGTCTTAAAATTTGACATAAGATTTGAAAGTTAAAGACTTAAAACCACCGAGATAAAGGTAGACTAATTGCATCAAGTTTAATGTTTTCATATTGGAACTTGTTTTAAAATATATAGTTATTTTTATAAAGAATTTTAAAATAATCCTCAAATATATTTGTTCCCTATTTTATAACACAATCAACAATGTTTCTAATTGGTAAATGCAGATTAAAAATTTTCATTTTACACAAGAGGTCTCAGGTATAAATATATGGTTAATTTTATTTGTTCAAAATGATCTCGTGTGACTCACCTTTGGCCACCCTTAAATAGGGGGCTGAACATTGAAACTCCGATAAGGTTTCCGGTGAGACTCCGGCATAAAACTTGGATTCCGACAAGGCTCCAGCAAAGTCCAACTCCTATACTCAATATATTTATATATATTGATATATGTATTTGAGTTTGAATATTATTTTATTTAATTATATTTTATTTTGAATATAACATTGACAACAATTAAAAAAAAAAAAAAAAAAAAGCCATCTTTGAAACACTTGTGGTACATACAGTTTATTTAGCCTATGGTACATACAAATAAAGAGAGGAAACATTTAGTTATTATATATATATATATATATATATATATATATAGTTCCGTGTTTGCATCCATGGTTTCTAACCACTAGGTTATCTCTAGTACACCTTATTAACCATCATTTGGATTTTTCTTAATATCCTTATCTCCGTAGCTAAAAATGCAATTCTAATTTATCAACACTCCACTGCTTTTTAAGTGTAACATAAAATAATAATTAAAAAGAAAAAAAAAAACTGTAAAGTGTAAACACAAGTTTTAGGGGGAGAAAAAAAGGAGAATAGATCACGTTGAACCCAATACACGAGGTATGGACCAGAAACTGCGATAATGGAATGGCGTGCAGGTAAACGTTTAAGCCTTAAAAATCTGGTGCAATTTTTCTCTAGGAAAAAAGCTTGAGGTTGTAAGAGAAATTTTATTGCTAAAAAGTGTGAAATATTAATTTATTTTGGCAATTATCGTACAAGTTGAATTGTAATTTACTTTACTTGTTCTACAAGTCATCAAGTTCAACAGGAACTACAAAACTAGGAAGGAGTTTCAACTTACCATACTTGAAGGAAGAGTTTGTGGAGAAAAGGATAAAAACACTACCTTAGGAAGGAATATGAACAAGGTTGGATATTTTACACTTTCCATGTTGGTTTACAATTTCCATTGAATGAATCAAGGCTGGAAGAATTCGAAATATCCAAGTCTGTCAACCTTGAACCGGTTCAAGATGTCTTGTTTGCAATCCAACTTCAGTTTCCTTTTTTTGAATTGTTTCCCAGTTGGTCTAGAATTGTACCAAATCTTATGCACGAAATTTTCCTTATTTTATGAAGGATTAAGTCATTCTATACTTTATATAAACCATGTCATATACATTGATTTATTCACGGCTTTTAGATCATAATTCAGACATTATTCAAAGCCTTAGGAAGTTGATGTTTCTCTGAAAAACAAAGTTGATTTTTCTGTTTACTTTCTAGAACATACACTTATTCACCTAGTAAGGTTAGAGTTGTAGTGTTCGAATCCTGATCGTGATCATCCAGTGGTATTAACATCGATCAGACAAAACATATTTTCTTCTACATCATTCAGACAATTAAAGAAAAGAAGTAAACGCAATCACACTTTGGAAGGGTTGGAGCATTCGTGGAGTGCTGTCTGATCTACTTGCTACTCTTCTACAGATATCAAGTGTAAGCCTGAGGTTAAGTTACTGTTGGACGGGGAGTCGCAAAGCCAGAGGATCGTCAGCTGTTGGTGTGATGTAAAACGATAGGGTGTGAGCAAAAGTCAAAGTTTGGTATACTTTGTTCCAAGCATAGTGGATTGGTTTACTTTGGACTGCTCTAGTCCACGAGATTTTTCCCATAACAGTTAACATATTTTACCAACTGGGGTTTCCTCGCTAAAATCCCGGTGTCTTCTCTACCTTTATACTTTGCTTTATTTTATCTGCATGTGATTAACTATTTAACTGTTAAAATAAGTAAAGTTGGTAACGACATAAATCGGTTGTTTACAAAACTTAAAACTTTTCTGTTTACATTCCGCTACGTACTACTCACAAAAAGTCTTATAATTTGCGAATTAGTGCAAAAGCAGTTAATCTATGCAATTAATTACAAAAGTCCCTTAATAAGAAAAATACACATGCAGATGCATACACAATCACGCTTGTGATTAACAGAACAAAGTTTTTAGCTTTAAGCCTTTGACAAATGCATCTTCTTCATATGAATATCACAAACTCAAAACAAATAGGAAAAGATACAAATATTTTAATCATATGGTGTTATTCAAACAAAGTGAAAATGCCCAAGTCAAGATGGTGTTATGGGTCCACAAGGGTGATTTGTTAAAGTACCCATAAGCTAACTACCCATTTCTAACATCACACCAGAGAGACCTTAGCACAGTGACTCAATGCTGAAACCCTCATTTGCGCACAAACCTTGAGATAAAGCGTGCACGTTTTTTATTGAGTGCCTCTTTTTCTTTATCTATTTCTTTATCCAGCTGTTCACCTTTTTTATTGAGTGCCTTTTTTTCTTTATTTAGTTGTGCAAGTTTTTTATTGAGTGCCTCTTTTTCTTTATCTAGCTCTGCACGTTTTTTCTTGAGTGCCTCTATTGCTTTATCTTGCTCAGCAGAGATGGTGAATGTACCATCACTCTCCTGATCTTCTTCACTTTCCACACTGGAGTCTTCTTCAACCTCATCACTTTTCACGCTGGAGTCTTCTTCAACCTCTTCTTCAGCCACCTCATCACAGTCGTCAAGAACGTCCAAAGATAACTTTGTGCCAAATGAAGGTATACCTTCTAAGAAACATCAATAGAGTCAAAACATAATTTTGCATTATTAATTCAACATTATATCACTTCATGTTTATATTTGAAAAATCATAAATTGTGCAGATGGTGAATAGAACGTGAGTAACATAGTGGCATGCATTCTATATAATAAGAAGTTGGACATTGGAGATTCCATTTTTTTTTTTTTTGACCATATTCCAATTAATTTAAACTATAAATATTGAGTATACTTTTAAAGATTAATAGCATTACCAATACACTATCTTATACTATATTATGTCTTTAAACCTGCAAGATGCGTCCATGTACCTAGCTATATCATGCTTGGTGTTTTGGAACATTTTAAGTCCATGTATTCTAAGATCTGAAATTTAGGAAGGCCTCACAGTCAAATACAAACCATATCTACCGGAGACCATGTCAAATTATGTGATCGTTAGGAATTTCTATGATATTCATGCGTGATGGTATATATTCAATATATATATATATATATATATAGATAGATAGATAGATAAATCACACTTTGTGCAGCAGCAGGAAGAGAAGCCAAGAGTTGTAGCAGATTGAAGGAACATGTATTCTAAGATCTGAAATTTAGGAAGGCCTCACAGTCAAATACAAACCATATCTACCGGAGACCATGTCAAATTATGTAATCGTTAGGAATTTCTATGATATTCATGCGTGAGGGTATATATTCAATATATATATATATATATATATATATAGATAGATAGATAGATAAATCACACTTTGTGCAGCAGCAGGAAGAGAAGCCAAGAGTTGTAGCAGATTGAAGGAACATGTATTCTAAGATCTGAAATTTAGGAAGGCCTCACAGTCAAATACAAACCATATCTACCGGAGACCATGTCAAATTATGTGATCGTTAGGAATTTCTATGATATTCATGCGTGATGGTATATATTCAATATATATATATATATATATATATATATATATAGATAGATAGATAGATAAATCACACTTTGTGCAGCAGCAGGAAGAGAAGCCAAGAGTTGTAGCAGATTGAAGGAATGTTTCATCTTAATCAAAAGTAGTTGGCTATATGCCAACATATGTCCACAGTCAATCTATTCCCACACATATGCACCCAGATCGATTTACACACATTAAATCTGGTACACGACACCAAATCACAACTTCTTCATATTAAGGGCTCTTTTTACTATGTGGAATTTCTTAGAAATTAATATCTAAATGCAGTAACATATAATGTCAAAAACTGGACTAATAAACAAAATTTTTAATTTTTTTTTTTTTTTTTTTTTTGCTTTTCTACTTTAAATAAACTTTGCTCCAACATTGTTGCATTTTCTTATATTCCTATCAAGATTTGAGGCTTTGAACGTATGCTAAGAATTCAGAGGGAAAAAAAATAAAGAAAGAATATATATATATATATATATTAAGGGCTCTTTTACTATGGGGAATTCAAAAAGGAATATAAGAAACAAGCCAAATCTAAGGATAAGGTGGCATAGACATGTTTCTATGCATGTAAATATATTATATGTTTTATTATAGTGTAATATTTAATGTTGTTTTAAAAGAATATACACAATTAAATTAAATACGATGTGATAAAAGAAAAAGGTTTCCATCTATTTCTTCTCTAGGAAACTCATCTCTACTATTAAAATTGAGTTTTCTTCTTTTTCTATCATGTCATGTCAATGATTGAAGTTTCCAATTTGGTTTCGACTGCTGACTCATATTTTGTACTTGTACGACATATGTATGCAAAGAGAAATAGGAAAGTCTGTGTCACTGAGATATACGCACATCCAAGCAAATTGCTCTCCTCAAATTTAAACGAACAATACTAAATCAATAAATTTCAGCATGCCATGTTCACTAAAGAATAATTTAACCATCTTTTGTTACGACCAAGTTAGAGATTTTCACTAAACATCCTATTTTGTCTAAAAAATGATATATAATAGAGAGAAGAGAGAGGGCAGCATATACGAAGGATGATTGAGACAGTAAGGTCCTCTAAATTGGGGAGATAGTTGTTGCAAGTGAAATCAAATTCAGAATAAATTATGTTTTCCTTGTTATCAAAATTTTGACAATACCTAAATCTAATAAATTTATGAATCTTTGGTTAAAGTGAACCAGCATAACACTTGGAATCACTTGAAATATCAATTTCTTCCAACTTATCATGTTACACACCCCACATGCCCAATGACCAAGATGAAAACTAGTAGTGATCATAAAACAACTTACAGACTTGGTACCTACCAATATGCAGCTCACGTCTCGTTTTTAGGTGATCCACTTTTGTTGTTACCGTTGCTTTCAGTGCATCTACATCCGCTTGAAGCATTATAATCTCTTCATCTGCTTTAGCAATTGCAGATGTTGATGTTGATGTTGATGTTTTTTTAATCTCTACTTCCAGTACCCCTGCATCATTCTTATCATCAAGTCTACTAGCTAAGGACTATTCTCAAATCATGTTGAATATTAATCACACTCCACATGCGCAATAATAAACATGATCACATTTTTTAGTACAACCAAGTACAAAACAACTTACCAACTTGATAGTTTTTAATATGTTGTTTACGTATCTCTTTAAGTTCATCCAATTTTGTTGTTAATGTCTTCAATTTTGCTGCTAGTGTCTCTAATTTTGCTGTCAGTGGATCTACCTCTGCTTGAAGCATTATAATTTCTTCATCTACTTTAGCAATGGCAGGATCATCTATTGTGGCACTTAAAAATGCCTTTTTAATCTCCATTTCCACTATCCCTGCAACATTCTTCTCATCAAGTCTACTAGCCAAGGACCATTCTCAAATCATGACGTAAATAAACAAACTTCACATGACCCAGTAATAAACATGATAACTTCTTCTAATACAACCAAATATAAAACAACTTACCAACTTGGTAGTCACTAATATGTTGCGCACATTTCCCCTTAAGTTCATCCAATTTTGTTTTTAGTGTCTCTAATGTTGCAGTCAGTACATCCACCTCTGCTTGAAGCATTATAATCTCTTCGTCTTCTGCCAAGGACCACTCTCTTTCCAGTGAAGGATGAATCTGACAAGCAACCAAAAGTTAAGGAATTTGGTTCTAGTACATTGTTAAGTAAGAAAAAAAATTTACATAAGACCCGTGAAAACCATTCTTTGTGAGGATGAATGTCAATAATTATATAATGGGCTATTATTTAATGATTGTTCATTCACAACATGCATTTTTGAAGTATATAATCAGAATCTATAGGATTGGGATTTCAGTAAAGAAAAGGAAATCAAATGAAATCTCATTTATGCATTTACAATAATTTGAAATTTAGAAAACTAAAAGAGGGGCAGAGTTGGACATATTGCAAAGTCTATTTGGTAATTTTCAAATACCATGAAATTGATTATTTTTCATGAGAGTAAAGATAATATTTATTATTACCATAAATTCGATTTTAAAACCATCAAAATCCTGCTATTCCAAACACAATGTTATGGTGGTTCAAAGACCAAAATTGGAGTAGAAAAACTCATGAAATGAAATCAAATAGTGAGCAATGTAGGTCTCTATCAAATAGCTGAAATTAAATTAGTGCGTACCTCATCATACACGCAACTAAGATGAGCAACATAGTGACATTCCTCACAGTAATAAGTTGGATGATGGTATCCTCTCCGTTTCTCACAAATGTCACAATAATATTCCGAGTCTTCATCGTCATCTGAATTGTCAATGACGGGAGAGCGAGTGAGGGTGAGTGAATGTCTGTCATGACAGCTATGTTTAATTGTATGTGGTAATTTGGGAAGACAGCACAAGTTGAGAGTGAAATCGCATGGCACACAACGGAAAAAAGGCAAACCTAGGCTACGTCCACAAATGCACTCATTTTCGCTAATCCAGTTATGGCTGAAGAAAGTAAGAGGATGGTGGTGAAGTTGATCAAATTTGAAAGTGGAGTAGCTTAGCGAAGCACATGCAACATCTATTGCAAAGTGACACTCGGCACACCAGTACTTGAAGCCTAAAACAGAACATTTACATGCCGCGCATGATGAGGAACGGTCACTATATTTTTTATCCTGGAGCTGAAGACGGTGTGGAGAATGAAAGGGGTGTTTGATAAATGGTGGCAATTCAGCGCATGATTTGTGTAGGAAAAGCTGGCATTCAAGACAAACATAGACTGTACCATCCTCGATGGATATAGCACAAGCAGCACAGAGAAAACTAAAATTCCCTTTGGTATCACAATCACAGGGAAGCAGATCATGACGGTGGGTGAATGTGAGCTGGTTTTCAATGGCTTTGGGTTTCAGAGAAGCGCACCTTACGTCCAGATTAAAATTACATTCAGAACATCTGTAGTGGAAACCATTCTTAAAATCCCCACAGGCGTTGCAGAAATGCATGAAAAAAGAACGAAAATTCTGGAGAGCGAGAGGATGAGGGTGAAAGTCATGTGTGATCTGCTGTATGAGTTGGGCACATGATTCATCCATGATAACGGGGCAATCTAAACAAACATAGATGATGGCCTTGATGGGTATGGGTAGGTGGCACATGGAGCATGAAAAACCAACATCCTTATTATCCCTATTGCAAGGAATCAATGGATGGGGGTGAGAGAACATCCGCTGCTCATCCTCCGAGTGATTTTTGGTAGTGGGAATGAGCGTAGCGCATTTAACGTCCAGCTCAAATTTACATTCAAAACAGTTGTAAATGAAGCCCTGACACTTCTCGGAGCACGCATTGCAGCGAGGAGCACCTCTTTCATAAGATGATTCAAAGAGTAGAGTGAGTGGATGTTCCTTGTGAAAGGGGTGTCGTATCTCTGGCGGCAATTTATAACATGATCTGCAGACCCAATACTTGCATCTTTCGCAACCATAACAATTACCGAAGATAGCCTCCCCGCACCCTTTGCAAACCTCCCATATGGATGAATTGAAGCCGTAGCGTTTCAAGTCATGCCTGTGGATGAAATGTTTATAGGTAATCTCCATCTCCGTCTCCCTCTTTCTGTGATCCAAAACAATAACTGAGTGACTACAAAAAAATATATATATTTAAGAAAAATTGTTTCAGTCAGAAAGCCAAAGACTGAAGAAGGTGGAAGAACAGAGGAGAGGGAAGAATGTGGTGGAGAAGAAGGTGAAAAAGAAAGCTGTAGAGTGTCGGCTACTACACCATAAAATAGATAAAATAAATTAACTTGGACACAGTTGGGTAAGAATTGTTGGCCCTCATGTGAGTATTTTCTGAGAAATTTGAATACAATTTTCATTAACAAGCTAGAAATTAACATTTCAAAATTTTGTACAAATTGTATTTTCCTTATAATGATGTTTATATGTCTAAAAAAATAAATTCCATTCGGTACTTCCATATGTAATATTAATAAGAAATTATATGATTATAAGACTGATTTCAATTTCATTTGCCGACCTACCAAACAAGTCTTCCAAAAAAAAAAAAAAAACAACACAAGTCTCCCCACCTATTACACTCCTATTATTGTAAGGAGTATTCGTCCCACATCAGATCCGGATGTGAGAGTGATTGGGTATAAATGGGTGGGTATAAATGGGTACTACCCAACATCTTAAGCTTTTGGATAAATAAGGAAGTGCCCACCCATTACAATTGATAGCAAAGCTAGACCCAGTCTTTAATCTAGTATCATGCCAAGTGCCAGGCCGAAAGGCGTCCGAATGGACCACCAGAATAGACAGGATGGCCTGACCGCAACGAGGAACGTTGCCAGTTCGAAATGAGCAAGCTTTTGGATTAATAAATCACCATCCCTCTCTTTCTGTGAGTGATCCAAACAAAGAAAAGAGTGACTACAAATTTTTTTTTTAAGAAAAATTGAATTGTTTAAGTCAGAAATTACACCAAATCCGAATTAAGCAAAAAGTAAAAGAAGAGGGGTGGTGGGGTGAGCCACCACTGATCAGAGTCTAAAAGCAAAAGCAGTACCTAGTCATGAGGAATCTTAAAAGAAAAAGAGGAAAACGAACAAAAGGGTAAAGTGAAAGCGGGTGGGTGGAATTAGCTTTACGGTGTTGGCTACTACCACTACTAGCTAGAGAAGGTGGAAGAGTGAATAAAGTGGTGAAAGCTTGGGAAGCGAAAGTGAAAGTGTGTGGAAATAGCTTTACGGTGTTGGCTTTGGCTACTAGAGATTTCTACAAAGAAGAATGCGTGATAGTTGGGTAAGAGTTGTTGGGCCCAATGCGTTGAGAACTTTCTGCGCATCTGCAGTTGCTGTAGCTGTAAGTAATAATTTTGTATTTCAACACTAATTTTTTTAACAGGTTAGTAAAGTCGGTAGATCTGATATGTTGAAAAAAAATTCAATTACTTTGAAAAAAAAATATAGCATGATGCAATTGTAATTTCTTTTTTATTATTAGTACAACCATTCATAGCAATATTTTCCAGAATCATAAACATCAAAAAAAATTCATATGGAAAGCATGCTGACATACATAACCAATGTCAGCAACAATATTACCCTCTCTATTCACCCAACAAAGATTGAGATGATAATGCAATTGCAAGAGAAAACAAACATCCTCTTGAACAACTGCAATGGAGCTTTGGTTAACAGTAGACTTTGATATAGCCCAGCAATCACCTTCCACATCTGGTTCGAGAAAACACCACTGAACAGCCCACTTAATGGCATGTTTGGCAGCAAGAGCTTCAGCCATTACAGCACAATCAACAGGGCCCCAACAGCATGTACCAGCATTACGAAGCTTCCATCTGTAGTTTCTCACAACTAGACCCCCTGTGGCTGGCTATACCAGACTCTTACTGATAAGCAGCATCATAATTTATCTTGAAACAGCCCATTGTTGGAGGACACCATCTGATAAACTTTATAGCTGACCCATGAACCACTGGTACTTTATTTTCCATAACCACAGCTTTAAATTCCTCCCATTGATTCAAAGATAAAAAGCAAACTTCATGTTCAGATGAAATCTTTCCCTCAAAAAACAAAAGATTTATACACTTCCATAAGTTCCAACAAATATATGCCAACATACTCATCAGATTTAGACCACAAAATTATCAGAGGCTTGAACCAACTATTCCAAGAAAGATGAGTATAACTACAAACCTCCAATCTCAGTGGGCTTTGTTTCCAAACTTTCATAGCTATTGGGCATTCCAGAAGTATATGTTCAATGGACTCCCCAGCTAAACCACATCTCTTGCATATTGCCTCCTCCGTGAGTCCTCTCTGTTTTAGATTCACTAGGGTAGGGGACTCCATTCATACAGCAGCTCTACAAAAAAATGGATGATTTTAGTTTTGGCTCTGATTTTCCAAAGTTTCTTCCAAAAATTCTGAACATGAATATGCATACTACTGCTGCCTTCACCCCTTTGTGTCATCCTTCTGCCAGTCATCTCTTGAAGAAACAATTGATAGGCAGATTTGACAAAATTCGCTTAATGGGATCTTCAAAATTCTCTGGCAATCAACCGGATTAAAAATACTCAGCACCATTCTTGTGTTCCACCCACCTAACATGTGTACAAACGCAAAAGTTAGATTTAAGTTTGGTATTGCCCAATTATTCGGGGTTAACAGAGATTTCTACTAAGAAAAAAGAAATAACAATGGCGAACCATACTCCAAATCAGACAGAGTTTGAGTATGATTGGACTGCAACGGTAGAACCTGGTGAACCGGGCGTACAACTTCCAAAAGCCTTCCGTAGACCCTTCTTCTCTACTTTCCTTTTTCTCTCTCCAAGAAAGACCATCAACGCCAGTTCTCACCGGTTATGTTCAACGCGGCCGCCGCATCACCAATGCCAACCATCTTTGCTCACCTCTTCATCGCTGGTTCATGCCACCATCCGTTAGTCAGTCTTCCGTAACAAAATTTTAGTTCAAAAGATAGAGACGTGTTAAATAATTCAGATTGCGTTCAATATTGGGCTAGGGTTCGATTATGGGGATGAATTGATTGCGCTAGATTTGGGGCTAGGGCTTGACTATCGGGATGAATTGGTGGCGGCAACAGTTGTGGGTGGGTATCTACATATATGTAGATACATGTTTAATGATGAATAATTAATGTATGGCGGATCCATACGTATCAAGGTCGACCTATGATTCTTAAACGATGGGAGAAGAATGTTAACCTAGAGAAAGAAATCTTGGGATCAGTCCCCATTTGGGTTCGGTTGATTGGGTTATCCATGCATTGTCGAGGGAAGATGTCCATTGCTAGGGTTTGTTCACAATACTCTAAGCCTTTGTTTCCTTACTCTTGCTAGAGAGGGGGGGATTAGTGAAGGTAATGGTGGAGGTTGATATTCATGATGAACTTCCTGAAGTTGTTCATATTGATATACATGGTATTGAATGTGAGGTTGTTGTGGAATATGATTGGAAGCCTCAATTGTGTAGGAAGTGTAATGGCTATACACATGGTGAAGCTAATTGTCCAATGCAGGTCAAGAAGAAAAAAGTGCTTTCTGAATGGGTAATTAAGCAAAAGGGAAAGCTTGTTACAAGTGAAGAGGCCTTAGACTCTATTGTAGATACTATTAGGGTGGAGGCTGTTGGGGGTACTCAGGCTATTCACGACTTGGTGGAAACAGTTCCTGTTACTGAGGTGGTATGTGAAAAAGGTGTGCAGATTATAGAAGAAAGATTAGAGACTATGATTGAGGTGGCTTCTGGTGAGTCACAGAGTAAGAAAAGGGATTCGATAATGGTTGAATCACTATTGAAATCTGACAATGATAGGTCAGGTGGTGAGATGATGTCAACCGATTTGAGAAGTAGTCCAGTATCTAGTATGGGGATTGATTCACCTATACAGAGTGATAAATTAAACATTGTGTCAGCTGGATCTACTAAGGAGACTCCTCCTCAAGAAAGCAGTTCACTAACAAAGAAACAGAGGAGGAAGCTTAGGCAGAAGGAAGCCGAGATGATTGTTGTTACTCCTAGAATTACTAGAGGCATGGTGGCTGGTGGAGTTGTTCCACCAACTACTATTATTATATGATAGGTATGTGGAATGTTAGGGAGCTCAATAGGAGAAGGATGCAACTTGAGGTCCTTTCCTGGTTGAGCAAGTTTTCTTTGGCCCTGGTGTGTTTAGTAGAGACTAGGGTTCAAAGGGCAAAGTTTAATTTGATCAGTAACAAAATTAGAGCAAATTGGCAATGGTGTAATAATTATGATGCTGTGGATGGAGGAAGAATTTGGTGTGGGTGGGATCCTTTGAAGTTTGATATTCAGATTGATGATATTCAAGCACAGGTTATCCTTCTTAAGGTTAAGGTTAGAAACTCTGATGTGTCTTTTTGGGTCAGTTGTGTCTATGGCAAAAATACTGCTGTAGAAAGAAAGGAATTGTGGAGATGTCTTCTGGATATGGCTTCTAGGATTACAGGGGCATGGTTACTTGTTGGTGATTGGAATATTGTTAGATATAATCATGAAAAGATTGGAGGGAAAACTTTATCAATTAGGGTGTTGAAGGAATTCAATGATGTTATTGACCTCTTAACTCTTGTTGATATTCCTGTCCTTAATGGCACTTATACATGGTGTAATAATAGACAATTTTCAAGGAGAATTTATCTTCAGCTGGATAAAGGGTTGATGAATGAAGATTGGAGTGAACTTTTTCCTTCTTCTCAAATTGAACTTACTCCACCTTTAGCCTCAGACCATTGGGGGATACGTGCACAAATTCCTTTGCAGGTTGCTTCAAGTCCAAAACCCATTAGCTTTTTACATTTGTGGAATGTTCAACCTATGGTTAAACAAGTGGTGGTTGAGGCTTGGCAAATTGCAGTGTCTGGAGATCCAATTGCTAAGGTTATTAAGAAGCTGAAAGGGGTGAAACAGGCTATTAAGGATTGGAATACAACCAAATTTGGTTCAGCTTTTGAAAGGTTAATTACTGCTAAAAAGGAACTTGAGGACTATCAGAGAGAGTTATTCCAGTTTCCTTCCAATGAAAACCTTATTCAAAAAGAGGATGATGCTAGAAGAGAGTATGACACTGCTCAGTCCAATGAGGAGCTTTTGCTTTTACTGAAGGCTAGAGTAAGTTGGATTAAAGATCAAGATAGATGTTCTAAGTTTTTTTATTAGAAGATTAAGGCTCGGAGAGTGAAGAATAACATTACTAAACTTCAAGAGGATGCTGGTAATTAGATTCACAATGATGTTGGTATTAGAAATATGCTACTTCAATACCATACTGAACTTTTTTCATCTAAAGGACAGTATAGTGCTCCATCTGCATAGTATATTAGGAATGTTTTAACTCCTGAGGAAGCAGGGCATCTTGAGAGACCTATTACAAGGGAGGAAGTCAAGAATACTATATTCTCTATGGGAGCTGATAAAGCTCCAGGCCCAGATGGCTTTCCTGTGAAATTTTTCAAGGTTTATTGGGATACTGTTGGGGAGGATGTTATTAATGCAGTGCTACATTTTTTTGTTCACTCTTCTATGGTAAGGGGCTTTATAGCACTTTTATTACTTTGATTCCAAAAGGAAAAGATGTTGTCAAGGTGGGGGAGTTCAGACCAATCTCTCTTTGTAATACTTTGTACAAGGTGATTACTAAAATTCTTGCCTTAAGATTGGGAACTGTTTTGGATCAATTGGTAGGGAAAGAACAGAATGCTTTTATCAGTGGAAGGAAAATTCAAGACAACATTATCATTGCCAATGAATTGCTGAGAGGTTTTGGAGCAAAGTCTACTAAGCCTACTTTAGCCTGGAAGGTGGATCTCAGAAAGGCCTATGATTCTATTCAATGGAATTTTTTGCTTAACATTCTTCAATTGTTTGGATTTGGAAGCAAATGGATAGGGTGGATTCAGAGATGTATTACAACAGTTTGGTTCTCCTTGTTAATTGTTTGGATTTGGAAGTCCTTGTGGGTTTTTCAAACCATCTAGAGGTATTAGGCAAGGCTGCCCCTTATCTCCTCTCTTGTTTACCTTAGTGACAGATTATCTTTCAGGTATGTTTCAACATGAATGTGAAGCAGGACATCTTGTGGTTTCTGAAGCAGCTAGAAGGGCTCATGTTGGGGTCACTCGTCAGTTTTTTGCTGATGATCTTCTTGTGGTTGTGATGGCAAACATGGCCTCAGTTATGACTTCAAGGAAAATGATGAGACATTTTGAATCAGTTTCTGGTTTGTCTTTTTCACCAGATCAGTGAGAAGAAAGTCCATTATTCTTATAATTCTTGGATGTAAACAAGGAAATCTTCCTTTTACTTATGTAGGTGTTCCTATTTCTGATAAAGGTTTGAAGAGATTGGATTGTAAACCTTTGATTGAAAAGGTTGAAGCAGCTACCACAACATGGGCAGGTATGAATTTATCTATGGCTGGGAGAGTTGAATTGATTAGAGCTGTAATTACTCCTATGGTCCTGTATTGGACCTCAGTTTATTCTATTCTAGCTGCTGTTGTTAATATTATAGAGAGAAGAATGAGAAATTTTGTTTGGGGACACAATAATCAATCTTATAAGCTCCATGGTTTGTGTTGGAAGAAACTGTCTACTCCAAAATCTGAAGGTGGTTTGGGCATAAGGAAGTTGATTGATATTGATAAAGCTGCTAAGTGTGTTTTGGCTTGGGAATTTATACTTTCAAAGGATAGATTGTGGGTTGCTTGGTATAAACAGATGAATCTGAAGAAGGCTAGTTACTGGTCTGCTGTTCCTAGGGATACTCATTCTGTTATTTGGAAGAGTATTGTGGCTGTGAGGGATACTCTGAAGATAAATTGCAGATTCCATATTGGCGATGGTGAGATGGTAAATTTCTTTCAGAAGAATTCAGTTTTAGAACTCTTAAAGAGTTTTGGCTACTGATAAGAGTACTGTCTTAAGCAATTTTCTGTTTCAAGGTCAATGGCAGCTTGCTGATATCCCTTCTGAGATCCAGAATTACATGCATCAATTCAAAATTTATGAAGGGGAAGATAATATTTTATGGCAGCACAATTTGTTCACTTACAAGGCAGCATGGGAGGCCTGTAGGTTGATTAAACCAGAGGTTTTCTGGTATCCTTTAATCTGGAATGGTGGACGGCCTAGGTGGGCAGTTTTAGGTGTTTTTGTTTTACAGAATTCAGTTCTGACTGGGTCTAATGTTCAAAGAAGGGGTATATCACTTTCTTCTAGATGTTGTTTATGCTATAATAATGAAGAAACTGTGGATCATTTGTTTGTGGATTGTGAGTATGCTTGGCAGATTTGGTGTGATGTTGCTGATATGTTCAAGTGGAGAGTTCGAAGGCAGCAAACTGTTGGAGGTTTTACTTTGGAATTGGCACAGCAATTTGCAGTTAAATCATGGAGGAATAAATTCAGTAGGATGATCTTTTCTGCCACTTTATATTTCATATGGAGTGAAAGGAATGGTCGGATTCAGAATGATGTTATTAGACACAATAGAGTACTCTTTAAAAGTATTGTTTGGGAGGTTTTGGATGTCTTGGGGGTTTGTCTTCAAGATGTCTTGGCCTTGTTTTAGCTTGTTTGATTTTATTTCTTTTTAGGATAGGGAATTTCTCTATTCTTGAGGTGTGATCCTTTTAAGGATTTTGTCTAGTGAGGGTATGCCCTCACTATATGGCTTGTACTTTTATGTTCATATTTATAAAAAATTTCTTCAATTAGGAAAAAAAAAAAAAAAAAAATGTAAGGTTGTTGGAATGGGTTTGGTAATGGTGAGAGAGAAGCAAAGGTTGTGATGGTGTTGTGAAAAAACAGAGAGGCGTGGGGCGGTGGTGATTGTGATGGTGTTGTGCAAAATCCAAGGCAATATGAATTATTGAACTAGCAATGAAGAGGTGAGCAAAGATGTTCGGCAATGGCAATGCGGGGGGTGGCGTTGAACAGAACGGGCTAGATGGAGAGAGAAAAAAAGAAAAAAAAAATTCACAGCAATGGGTTAAACCCGACTAATTGGGTTAAACCCGACTAATTGGGCATTACCCAACTTAAACCCAACTTTTGTTTTGGACACCTGTTTTAAGTTTATTGGGCCAACTTAAACCCAACTTTCATCCAACCTGAGTTGGACACAAGCATTGTTCCCAAACATAACTGAAAACAATGCAGAATATTTTAGTTGGTAATTTTTTTTAATAAACTAAACTTAGTTGAACGTAAGTCTAACATATCGTGATCTTTCCATTCATTTTTTTTTTTTTTTTTCCCCCTCTTTTACAAGACAAAAAAGTCCATTCTCACACAAAATAAATAAATAAATAGTATATTGTACAGAACAATTCCAAGAATTTTAGTTGTTATCTCTATTTTTAATTCAATATTATTTCAATTGCTTTAATCAAATTTCAGAATCAATCAAATATGGACCACAGATCATCTGTGATCAAGGTTTTCCTAAGCATTGCAGCCAAACCAAGTGTACACCTTATTGCTAATGAACAACTTTGCTTCAACGTGACATATATTACTATTGGAGACCACCATTTAGAACTTCACTGACTTTAAAGCAAAAGGTTGAAAACAATTCAGATTCCATACAGGTTCTGTTTTTTTCCCCTTCCTTTTTCTTTATGTTCAGTTTGGTGGTTCTCAAGTATCATAATCATACTTAATTAAATCAATTTTTTAACAGTTATAGGCACCATCTCATGTACTATAATCCCAAGGGCTTAATTGTATTTCTTACCGTTTCCCCAGGTGGCTGCCCCATTGTGTTAAAATCCATACGAGGCTTCTCAGCTTGTGACAGAGCAACACCTTTCAGTTTAGACCTTCCCCGGCCTTCTTTTTAGTGGCACTTGTTGCTTGGTCTTCACAGGTAGGGGCTTCAGAAGTAGCATGATCGAGTGACGGTCCACCAACTCCTATAATTTGGTCACTTGTGGGTGTATGAGGAGAGTTTGGACGCCATCACAAATGCGTAAGGCTTCTGGTGAACGCACTGCAGCCAAAACTGATTGATGCTCCTGTTGTAGTTGTTTCGCAACCTTTCTAGAATACCTGCAAATTAAAAGAAGAATAACATTAAAAACACGCTAAACATATGGTGATACTTAAATTAAAATACTAAATAACAAATAATAACAAGCTTAACTAAGACTGATGCTTACCTCAGGATATCCAGACATAATGAAAAGCTAACCAAGCTCAAAAATCAGTAATGTGAAGTTGGGAAAAAAATATCAAGCACATGCATACAAGAGAACTAAGTATAATTATCAAAATGAAGATAAAATGTGTTGAAATTTTTTCTTTTTATTAACTTACCATACACGCCTTTACTGCTGGAAACTAAAACTGACTTAAGAGAACATGTTAAGCCCTCATGAGAAGAACAGAATTGGTCATGGAAGCCCTTGGTAGCTTTTTAGGCTACCTGTTCTTGCACAAGCCTCAACTGATGAGCTAGCTGATTTTCATGCATGAGATGATCACAAAGACCATTTTTGAGACAAATTGAGTTATATCTGGATGTGATCAACGTTAATTCATATATAACTGGTAAAAGTAAGTAGACACAAAGACAGTGCTTGACATGGAAAGGTAAGTAAGATTTTATTAATGGATAGGCCAAAACCAGATTACAAACAAAATAAGGGCCATAGATGTATACAACCAAACATAAAACAAAGTATTTGGTATACCACGGATGCTCATGTATAGGCTGAGCGGTTGTAAATAATTTTACACAAGTAATACTTTTTATATTATGGATGCTTATGTAAATTTCTCATTTCTGCCAACAATGCATTTAAAAAGAAAAATGAAAAGAGAATTGTAGAAGTATTCCCCAATTTAATCATGTAAAAACCTATTTAAAAAAAAAAAATGCAACAGAACAAACCTATTTGGAATTTCGGAAAAGAAAATGTAATGAAATGAAATATCATTTATGCATTTGGAATAATTTGGAGTTTAGAACACTGAAAGAGGAGCAGAGTTCGGCATAAGTCAAATACTTATTAGTAATTATCAAATACCATGAAATCAACTAATCTTCATGAGAGTTTTAAATAGTTATTATTACCATAAATTCCATTTTAAACCCATCAAAATCCTCATTGCTCCAAACACAAGATTGGGTGTGCAAAGACCAAAACTTAAGTACAAAACTTCATATAAAATGAAATCAAATTATGATGTATCGTCAAATTACCTCATCAAACACGCAAAAGATATGAGCAACACAGTAGCGTTCCAGACAATAGAAGTTAGATCCATGGGCTTGATGTTCTTCTTTTTAAATAGTTTCGATAAAACTTTAAAAATTACCTAATAAAATCAATCACATTCTATATAAAACTCTTATTTTTAGTTATTTTTTATGAATAATTATAGTTTTTATAAAACTCTAAAAATTACCTAATAAAATCAATCACATTCTATATAAAACTCTTATTTTTAGTTATTTTTTATAGATAATTATCATAATATAACCGGCCCGGCTCAATTATGATTATGCCATTATCCGAAAAGGACACATGTCATCATTCTATTCATCCAAGAAGCCTATAAATAGAGGCATGGAGGAATGAGGAAGGGGTACAAAAATTGAGAATTCTATAAATCCAGAATTTCAGAGTAAAATACAGAAACTCTGCCAAAGAGTTTCAGTATTTATTTAGTTATATAAAAAATATTTATTAATTGAGTTGAATTTCAGAGTAAAATACAAAAGCTCTGTCAAGAGTTTTCAGTATTTATTTATTTATATAAAATATATTTATTCATTAATATAAAAAGAGTTTTTATCTATATTATTATTAGATGTGTAAAGAGTTTCATTATTTATTTATATAAAAAAATATTTATTAAATGATATGAAAAGAGTTTTTACTAAAAAAAAAAAAAAAAAAAAAAAAATCTATAAAACAGTAAAATCTACATAATAAAATTTAAATTAACCTATTTATCTATTTATTATTATCCATTTTTAATAAAAGAAAATCTAATTAGACAAGATTTATTAATATAAAAAATATTTATTAATTGATATATAAAATAAAATAATTTTTATAAAACTCTATCACAAATTAGCTTTTATTATGACTATCTTAATAAAATTAAAACTAATTAGACAAGTATATATTTAAAGAAAATAAAACAATTTCAATAAAACTCATATTACAAATTACTTATTTTATTATCAATAAAACTCTATCAACAAAAATATATTTCAAGAGTTTGTATAAAACTCTAACATAAATTACTAATTTATCAATTTATCATGAGTTTTTTTTAATAAAAGGAAACCTAATTAGACAAGTATTATTAATATAAAAAATTATTTATTAACTGATACAAAAGGAGGTTTTTAAAGAGTTTTTAAAACACAAATTACCTATTTATCTATTTATTTTGAGTTTTTTTACTAAAAGTAAATCTAATTAGACAAAAATTATTAAAATAAAAAATATTTATTAATTGATATAAAAAGAGTTTTTAAAAGAGTTTATATTAAACTCTAACACAAATTACCTATTTATTTATTTATTACAAGTTTTTTAATAAAAGAAAATCTAATTTACCTAATAAAACCAATTACATTCTATATAAAACTCTTATTTTTAGTTTTTTTATTTTTTTTATTTTTTTATTTTATGAATAATTATAGTTTTTATAAAAATCTAAAAATTACCGAATAAAATCAATCATATTCTATTTAAAACTCTTATTTTTAGTTATTTTTTATGAATAATGATTACAATATAACCGGCACGGTCCAGTTATTATTATGTCATTATTAGAAATTGACAGAAGTTTAGAAATTTAGAATTCTAGAGTAAAATACAGAAGTTCTGCCAAAAAGTTTCAGTATTTATTTATTTATATAAAAAAATATTTATTAACTCATATAAAAAGAGTTCAATTCCAGAGTAAAATACAGAAACTCTGTCAGAGAGTTTGAGTATTTCAATATTAATTTATTTATATAAAAAAATATTTATTAATTGATATAAAAAGAGTTTTTATCTATACTACTGTTAGATGTGTAAAGAGTTTCAGTATTTATTTTTTTATGTAAAAAAATATTTATTAAATAATATGATAAAACACTAAAATCTACATAATAAAATTTAAATTAACCTATTTATTTATTTAATATTATCAATTTTTAATAAAATAAATCTAATTAGACAAGAATTATTAATATAAAAATTTTTTATTAATTGATATATAAAAGAAAAATTTTTTATATAACTCTTCTATGAGTTTCTTAATAAAATTAAATCTAATTAGACAAGTATATACTTAAAAAAAATAAAATAATTTCTATAAAACTCTATTACAAATTACCTACTTTATTTTTTATAAAACTCTATCAACAGAGTTTCTATAAAACTCTAACACAAATTACATGTTTATCTATTTATTATGAGTTTTTTAATAAAAAGAAGCCTAATTAAACAACTATTATTAATATAAAAAATTATTTATTAACTGATACAAAAAGAGGTTTTAAAAGAGTTTTTTAAAAACTCTAACACAAATTACCTATTTATCTATTTATTATTAGTT